ACCCCCCAGCCATCAACGCGTGGCTGGTACTGTTCATCGAAACGAACGGCCGTTCTGATATTCACGAGTACTTTACATACTTTGATGACCATTTTGGATTGGATGGGGACGGTTCGTGATACGCATATTGTATTTCGGCAAATAGAGTGGACTAAAGACCGAGCGAGATGTCGTACATTTAAAGCAAACGCGCTCAGACGAGATTTGCCGTGTTGCTCGATTGGGCTTTTTGCTGCAACTTTACTTATCTGAGCTTGAATGTTGGTTGAAGCTCCTTTTCTGACGTTTCTAAAATGAGATAGGGGTCTTGAGTTCCAAGTCTTCAAGTGTTGTACTATTTCCGATGCATAATGAGTGCTTCTTGTGCATTTATCTTGATCATAACTACTCCCCAGAGAATCCAAACATCTCGCACTTGGTACCTAGAGTTGCAGCTAACAACCATGCATATTATTTGAAAGATGTATGAATATCATGTCCTTGCTGGAAAGGAAACTTGCTCTATGTGGTGTTGCATTCGCAGCAAATTAGCCCCATTAGACCATGACATGAAATTCATTACCACACCTTTCGATATCTAGCCCAAGCGTCTTTATCTGCGAATTCTTGGTTTACTCATAATGTTGTTAGTACATGAACAAGTCTAGGTTCTCTCTAGACTTACACTGTCAGTGGGCGCTGCGGTCTGTATCGCATGAAAGCGACGCCACCCGGCATCAGTGAGAGGAACTGTGATCGTGATGGTGGAAGACAAATCGCTGATAGGCACTGTCGCCCACTCCGGCACCACCGTGGTTGGCTCCAGAGTTACCGTGAGCGTAGTAGTTGTGCTTGGTGTAATTACAGGAATTGATAGGACGGCCTCTGTAGTCTGACTCGGGATGACTGGGATTGATATGACGGACTCCGTAGAGGCTGGCGGAGCAGGAGGCGGTGGGTTTTGGTATGAGCCGTATGATCCGTATTCTCCATAGCTACCGTAGTCTTGAATCACTGACGCTTCCTCTCTCGACTTGAGGTTGAAAAAGAGGCGAATGAAGCTGCCGAATCCGCTGCCTACCTTGTCGACATTCGAAGCTGGGAAGGGGGCAGGGAGGGCAAGAACTGCGGTATTAGCCAGAATGGCTATCGCGAGGGAACGGTGTAGATACATTGCTTAGGGATGTTCTGGAACATTGTCTTTGGAAGTTGAAAGGTCTGGCACGGTGATCATCCCCTTTATACTACCGTTTGATGCTGGCAAATAGCCGTTCAGGGGTACATGCTGGCGGGCAGCCGCCATTAGACACCTCGTTTGAACGTCGCCTCACCTCTGAACACTGGTGAGACCTCGTGAGATCTCACGTTACTAAACGAAGGTATTCCCCGTTGGCCACTCAAATGTCGTCCTTATCGAGCCGAGACGGATATCTGCATCAAGTCCCTGCCTTTTGCACTCAACTGAGTCATCATTGGTATTTTCCAAAAAGAGAGCTGCGTTGCTGTGCAATCTAATAATTAGGTATCTAAAAGCCCTCGGAAATATGCTTTGTCTGTGAGTGCCGTCTGACAAGGGCAAACTTCCAGAACATGACTTGGCGAGTGCCACATCTGGCGACCGTCTCACGATTTCTCGTTGGAAGAGGGCAACCAAATCCAATCTGAGGCCTGAACTAGACATGATCCTCGGAAGTAGATATTTTCAATCAATTCAGTCTGCAGGCAAATCATGTGCGTAACCTGTCACTGCTTAGCGTCCTGTGGTCTAGCACGAGCATTTTCCGAACGATACCTTCCTGGAGTCCGTATAAGTTAATTAGTTAGAGCACGCGTATGGCTGGAGTGTACGCCTTGTCATAATATCCAGTCACTTTCCAAGCTTAGAACATGACAAGGCATGGCGTTTGAAGTCACGTCATACCGTCTTTGGAAACGGAACCGGACAGGGCGGCCCCTGGATGCAATTTCCATGTATGCCTATCAACTGCCGAGTTTTGGATCCTCGCATCCGTGCTTGTTTAACATCAAACTGAGAATGCAACACGAGACGAGGACTAGTGACTACTAGAGCAAACACGACGACTCACCTCCAGATTTTGTTTTGGTCCCTTCAGGGGCTTAACACTGCGTTTTCCAGGCATCTTCCGGCTAGGGTCATTTCGCTATGCGCATTGACAATGAGTATGGCATCCGAAGTCCTCAATTCTCTCATTGTTTATAACCATACCAGAAATATGTGGCCAGAGAGTCAACAACAGAATTATTCTTCTGTGCAATCAGGCGATTCGGACGCTCCTTCAACTGGTGACTTAAATCCTTCCAGTAGAGAGATCATCATCACAAGACCTCAACGTTCTCTTTCAATATGCTTGCTTTCATTGGCTTTGATATTGTTCTGGGCGGCAGGTTTTGCACTGGGACGACTGTCATTCTCGGATCCTGATTGCTTACGCCGACTATCACGGAGTTGTACGTATTCTCAAAGGACAGGTATCACTTGACACGGTTTGCGAAAACTAAACGTCTATCACATTCCAGCCCCTGTGCTTGACGATTTGGAGATTGGGTTCTCAGTCAAGCGTTTCAACGGCTCATTCATGAGAGAGAACGTTTTCCGCGAAGCCCCATCTCCTCACGTCGATGCTGCATGGGCAGCCCTCGGCGTAGACTGTAAGTAATTTCGGACAGGGGCAATAAGATTTTCTCAACATTACTATCATGAGACTAAGAAAGTCCAGACCGACCTGTCATCATTCAATCTGCATACCAATCGTCTGCGGGACTTCAGCCGCATCATGTCAGAGTATCAGACAAATACGGGGGAGGGTTTCCTGCCAATATTGAGGGACTGCACCATCTACACTGCCTGGTAGGCCCTTATCGGCAACTCTTCCTACATGTTTTGCTGACATGACTGTCCACCATAAATAGAACCTATTGCGGCAGTCACTGTATTTCAATTATGATTATTACAAAGTCAGAGGAGAAGGAGCGTTTACCAATGAGGATTATATTCTTCGAGTCCATATCAGTATGGTTATTACCAGTCAATACCTTCATAAGTCACCACTGCTGACAGCACAGTAGCTCACTGTGTAGATATTTTGAGGCAGCAGTTGATGTGTACGGTGGATGTTGGAGTGCTTGGCCAGCTGTGGTGGGATCGATCTTATGCGAAGGCTTTCCCTGACTTCAATACGAAGCATATATGTCGAGATTTCGAGAGAATTCGCCAGTGGGCCGAAGAACATCAAGCTCCTGTAGATGTTCCTGCAGACTATCTACAGCCGCCTCAGAAGAGCGATGTGTTTGAGACTATACCCTAAGGTAGGGCAAAAATCGAGCTCAGGGGGTGGTGACCTGTAGATGCTTCCCACCCCGCGCTGTTTTACTTTTACAGCCCTATGGGCTTTTTGGCTTCATAATGGTCAGATACATTCAAAAGGCTGTTTTCGGTAAGCACGTACCCAACTTATTGAGCTGGGAAAAATTGGGTCACCCAAGGCACCCAACATCATATAAGCTAGGCGAAGTCACCATATACAGAAAAGACTGTATAGCGATCATCTGATCCCCAAGTGAATAAAAGCAGGTTTGGGCTGTCACTTTCCTAATTCGTGTGAAGCTCGTAGTGCCCCACAGACCAAGCATCTCTCCGTTCCTTGGCTTCCAACAAACTTGTCGTCGCAAGTGGTTAAGCCTTTTTCACTACCAAACTCATCTATAACAAAATAAGACTCTATACGATCTTCCAAACACTCCAGTTTCTGGCCCGAGAATCTGCTAGAACTTGTATTAAGGAATTCACCCAAGGAAATTTTCCTAGGCTTTCAAAAATAACTACTATTTTCAAATACAACAGAACCTTTTCGAGCCCAAACTTCCACCAGAGTCGTATTGCACTCTGGCTCTCCTACCAACAACAGAAAAAATCAATCAGTAACATCCTTCCTTACTTGCTTGTTATCTCGCAGTTTCTGCTCATCAATGCCAGGGAGATACTGAAAGCAAATCATCACGAAGAGTTGCCTCATGATCTGAAACAAGCAGTCACCTATTTGCTTCCACTCTAGTCCTCCTTTTCTTCCATCTTGCAAGCAGCAATCCACCTTGAGTTGAAATTGAGCATCATAATACCATCACCCAGAGCAGCTACTTGCAACTTTACGTAAATCTCTTCCCGATCTTCCTTTCGCAATCCGACTCCACTACCATTGTTTCTTACTCCCGAGACCAGCTAAGCATTACCTCGGAAGCTTTCTTGCTCCATCATTCTCCAATACCTTTGGTCTTTACCAATTTTCCTACGCCTTCTAGCTTTGACCTTGAACTTGTGTGCTTTGCATTCAAATTATACATCTTTGAGACTAGGCGGTTACATCTTTTTCATATAACCAGCTGTTTGTCTCACGGTAACAATCATCTATCTGTGGTTCAATTGCGACCATTGTGACCAAGCATTACCTAGATCAGATGAATTAGTCATCCTACAGGAGTCCACAAAGTAAGTGAATTTATCCTCTGATTTGGTAATTGCTTTCTGCGTATTGTTCTTTGTGTTTTGTCCTTTACTATTCGTCGAATTGCGTCAAAAAGTTTGCGTTCAGTTTCATTACCGGCAAACTGACCAAGCAAAGGATTCCACGCCTGACAGTCGCAATCAATCAATCTCTTTATACAGAGCATTCTCATACAAATCTGGCTTATCAATACTAGTGACAAGGGAAAGTGCAAGTAACAAAGTCTTGCATACGCTTGGCATTGAATACCTATCCTATCAGCCTGGGAATTGCCCACAGCGATACAAGGGCACATCAGCGATCATGGCGTTGCTTTATGACCCTCTGGATCCATCAGTGGCCAGTGATGAAACAACACTGAGCTTCTTAACAATCAAAGAGCATGCACGTAATAAAGTGCTAAAGGGAATACAGGAGATCGAGATGAGAAAGAAGTACTTGCGTTCGCGGTTCGGCCCTTCATGTTCAAAGAGTCGCAAAGGCGTCCAAAAGCTTAACGAAATGGTATGCAATTTTCTTATAAATCGACATTGAACAACTTGGCTGAACTTTACTAGGTTTCAATCGGCACAGAGGTGTCTCACCAGATGATGATGGACACCATGGTGGATGACACCATCAATCGCTCACATGAGTTGACGGCGGAGGCAGGTGCGAGTTCGACCCCTGAATTTTCGGCTGTCATGCCGGCTGCCATGTCCAACTCACAACACGGCGCAGGCAGTGATGATCAAGCACATCTAAACCCAGAGAATGCCTCAATCTTCAATCAAGATATGGGAGATGCTGTTGAGGTCCGCCGGCTACTTGTCACGCAAGAGGGGTCTGAGGCTGCCGAATCCTCCTCGAAAAGCAATGATGAACTCGTTGCATCAGACTTCAAGGTAGTGGAGTCTGATGATGAAAACAAGGAGACATGCCTCACCACAAGGTATACAAATCTCGGGATTGAGAGGTTAGATAGCTGACCTTTTGTCCTTAGCCCTGAGAGAGAGCCTGGATCAATCCGCACCTGGACCTACGACGGGTACAAATACATTGCGCTAGCTCCTATTTCACTGAGCACTGCATCACCTTCATCTGCAATGTCAAGAGACAGCTCTCAAGAGCCGAGTCCCGTATCAGAACCTGCGTCACCTTCCGAGGATGCCATGAGCCCTATTCCCGATCAGGTAACAAACGGTGATGACTCAGGGCCGGAAAGTTATCCAAAATCTGTGCCTTCTTCCTCCCCTGCCCTCGATGTTAGGACTTTCGCCAACGATCTCATTTATGTGGGCAAATCCAACATCAAAGGTGCTGGCTTCGGCATGTTCGCAGCTCGAGATATCTCGGATGGACAACCCATTTTGTTGGAGAAGCCCCTGCTCAGAACTACTTGGATGAACCTGTTCAAGAGCTTTGATAAGCTCAAGGAGGACCAGCAGGCCATCCTCCTCAGCCTGGCTCGCTTTCATCCCCGAGAAGACGCCGATCCTGTCGAGCAGATGTTCAACGCGAACTCGTAAGTCTGCCTGCCATTCTTGACAAAGGAAACTGTGACATTAAGGGAGGTATATCTGGAGGACAGCAGCTAATGATTTCGCAGATTTCAGGCCAGCGTGATGGATGCTGTCTGTCCGGTTGCTTCGAATTTCAATCATGCGTGCAAACCTAACAACAACGTTAGCTACGTATGGGATGACCGTCGCAAAATGGTTGTGTTCACCGCTGCCAAAGACATCTCTGCCCATGAAGAACTCCTCATCTCTTACAATTCGGACATTGCAGTCATCAAGAATCGTTTTGGATTCACCTGTACATGTGCCAAGTGCTCTTCGAGAACTGGCAATGGAGGGGGTAATACGTTGCGACCAGGTGAATTCTACTGAGCCCAGTCGAGGCTTTTGTAATATCTTATCCAGAGCTTTGCCCGACATACCTTTGCTGCCCCGACTTCGCATTCAAAACAAATGCTAATTCTTCTCTGCGTCTTCATTTTCTGTTTCTTTCTTCTTTCTGCTAAACTCATCACCCTGAAGTCGATTATGGCTTGCTAATGCTGCACTTGAGGGGGTATGATGAACCAGAGATGGTCTTGATGGCCGTTTCTCGTACTGCTTTGCATCTAAACGATATGGAGAGATGAATTACAATGAATGATCGGCAAGCGATATCAGCAGCTTTTGCCACGGTATGTGGTTCACCCTTTAATCAAATGCCAGCATTTTTACTAAACAAACTGTGAATGCCTAGGAATTTTCCGAGGGGTTTGTTTTCAACTTCAATTCAGGTTGTCCTGATCACCAAGAATTATCTGACGGACGGCCGTGAAGCTAGATCACGTCGTGCTTAAGGGGAAAAGATTGGTGCGAGCGTGGCCTCGTAGATGGCCCCTGGAATCTGGAATTTGCAGCTTTAATAAATGCCGAAGTTATCCTTATCTTCTCTCTCTTTTGACTGCCAAATCGTGATATGGATGACCGTTACAACACGAAGGCCCTCCGATTGCTTGTGTTGCGGCAGAGAGGGTCTCCACTGTAAGACGGGTCTAGAACACCTGCATTAGTGGCGGCATCACTAGGACAATAAGCTGGTGGATGGCGATGACGTCGAGCCCCTCAACGCCCAAGAACTGAAGCAGCTTAAAGATTGCGACTTTCCTCATTGCAAATCCTCCCTATATTTAAGTGTTCACAGTACCGCCAACTGGCTTCGAAAAGTTGACAGGCTTCATTTGTGGTCTAGCAGATGGTTCATGCATGAAGGCCAAGCAGGCAAGTTCGAGGCGCAGCTCTTAAACGTCTGCCTGGCCGGTGTTGCAACGGGAGGATTCGACTCGATAGCTCGTCGGTGAGCAGCGTTGTCGACCAAGCACATGCATGAGAAACCGGAGCCTAATTGAGTTGAGCTTTCCCAAGCTTCGCTTTCGCTTCTTGACGCGGTTTTCAAACCACGACAGCCTCACGAAGCACAGAGAGTCTCCGCTGAAGGAAGAAACAAAGACACGATGGCGCCGCTCAGCTCAGAGCCCCGCCAAATGGCGATAGTGCTCAATGTCGCCAGGCGCAAGGCTCTGTACCAACTCGCAAGCGAAATCACGGGGTACATGCGCTCGGAGCTGGAGCTTGACGATAACGAGAAGTACGATCGGCCATCTCCAGCTTCACCAGGAAGCGGTCCGGGCAGTCCATCACCGGGCTCTGCGGCCGACTTATTCGCCGTGCCGCCCAGCGATAACGGCTCCGAGACTGACGTCAACACTTCCCAGAAACAGACTCCACCAAGTCGCCAACTGATAGCTCTTCGGAAGGCAGCTTTGGCGCATTTCGACCAGTGGAGAAAAGACTTCCTCACGAAATTGAAAGAAATCGTTGCGAGCCCAGATGATAACAAGCTTCTCGAAGAACGGCGCAAGCGCCAAGAAAAGCTGGCACAGAAGAAGCTTGAAACTCCAACCGAAGGGGAGAACCTTATTGATTTTGGCGTCGTCGATGCGGTCATCGATCAGAGTCAGGACCAGCAGCATTCTGTTGCCAGCGTCCAAGCGCTCTATCACCCCATACCGACACGACTGACAACCATTGCCGAGGACGATCGGAAGGAGGTGCTCAGCGCAGTTCTGATTCTGCTCCTCTCCTCTGGAAATTATTCAGCTTACTCGAGGACGTTTGTTGCCTACCTGACCTCAGCCTTCGAGCTCCCTCTTTCCGTGCTCATCAATGAGGAAACTGAAGTGGCAAAGACCATGATAGAGGCATCCGCAGAGGCTGAGAAGGCCAAGTCCAAAGAAGGGATGTCAGCTGAAGCTGAAGCTGAGAAAAGGAAACAAGAGAACCAGAGCAGCAGATATTGGAAGGTTGGTCTTGCATCTGTGGCTGGTGCTGCTGTCATCGGCATCACAGGCGGCTTGGCTGCACCTGTCGTAGCTGGTGCGATCGGTGGCCTCATGGGTACGGTGGGCTTGGGTGGCCTGGCTAGCTTCTTGGGGATCTTCTGGATGAACGGTGCTCTAGTAGGTGCTTTGTTTGGTGCGTATGGTGCACGCATGACGGTATGACACCCTGACCCCTTCTCACAGCAAAAGCTTATACTTAGGTAGGGAGAAATGGTGGACAAGTATGCGCGAGAGGTCGAGGACTTCAAGTTTCTACCTCTTAAGGACGAGTGGGGCTCGGAGTATGCCAAAGACGATAATCAAATGCGCCGCCTTCGCGTAACAATCGGTATCAATGGATGGCTCAAGGACAAGGAGGAGGTGACGAAGCCTTGGCGTGTTCTCGGTGACGAGTCTGAGGTGTTTGCTCTACGCTATGAAATGAACAGCCTCATGAAGCTGGGAACTGCCCTCAAAGACCTGGTCTCGTCTTATGCTTGGGGCTATGTGAAGTCCGAGATCATCAAGAGAACTGTGTTGGCAACACTATGGTCGGCTCTTTGGCCCCTCTCGATTTTAAAGATGGCTTCAAACCTCGACAATCCTTTCAGTCTAGCCCGAAATAGGTCAGAAAAAGCAGGAATGATTTTGGCAGATGCCTTAATCAACAAGATCCAAGGAGAACGACCTGTGACACTTGTGGGATACTCACTTGGTGCTCGAGTAATCTATTCATGCCTGAAGTCACTCGCCGAGCGGAAGGCCTTTGGACTCGTGGATACAGTTGTTCTTATTGGTGCTCCAGTTCCCTCAAACAGGAACCACTGGCAGATGATGCGCAGTGTGGTCGGTGGCAAGATGTTCAACATATATTCGGAGAACGATTTCATTCTCGCCTTCATGTATCGTGCAACGAGTATCCAACTTGGCATTGCCGGTCTCCAAGAGATCCAAGATATCGAAGGTGTTAACAATCTGAACCTGAGCGAAAAGGTTCAGGGTCACCTACGATACCCTGACTTAATCGCTCCTATTCTCACGCAATGTGGCTTCCCTAACATCAAAGGAGGTGAGAAGCCGATCGAGAAAGAGGAAGAAACTTCTATTCAACTTCAAGACTCAGACCGTGGTAGCGGCCAGATGGGCACGCTCATCGACTTTGGGGACAAGGCTAAGGAGGCTCCAGAACCTGTGGCTGTGAAACCTCTCGGTAGAAGCCATAGAGAGATTGCCTTCCCGAGCGGTATCGAGAGGACGAAGTCGGGCTCTCGTCCAGTCCTCACAAAAGCGAAGACGGAGCCTCTTGCTGCTGCGGATTATGAGCCTTTGGGTCCATCCGGGAAAGCGCCGGCGGTGGAACAGAAGGTGTTGGTCGGCCCGAAGAATCCATCTCTTCCTCCACGACCAACAGGGGAAACTGCCAGGACTATCTCCGAGCCTCCCCCTCCATATACGCCTGGTCCATACGGTGGATTAGGTTCGTCTTTTGACGAGAAACCCAACGAGCACGTAGACACAGACAAAGACGACGATGAACATGGTGGAGGAATAAGTATGGTTGACAACGACAGCGATGATGGCGATATGGTCACATATATGGAGCCATTGAGGCTGGAGGACCGAGAGTAGGAAATATCCCAAGGATCTAATAACAAGACCGTGTAATATTATACAGCCGACCACTAGCTCTTTTTGTACTTGCGCGAAACATGTTGCAAGTCCTTTGAATCTTTCTATCTAAGTCCATCTAACTAAATTTTGCTCTGTCCGCCCTGAGGTATCTTGACCACAACCTTGCCCCAGGTGTCTCTACTCCCTAGAGCTTTCAGAGCATCCGGTATCTGCTCAAGTCCCACAAACTCCTTATCGGTGAACTCCGTACCCCTAAACTTACCCTCTTCAATCAACTTTCCGATCCCTTGCCAAACCTTCAGAACGGTCTCTTTCTCGTGTACCGCATATTGACCCCAGTGTGTACCGACCAGGCTAATGTTCTTGAGTAGAACCTTGTTCATTGCAACTTTCTCGATCTTGCCGGCCGCGAAGCCAATGACCAGGATCCGTCCGTTCCACGCGGTACACTTGGTGCTCTTATCTACCAGGCCGACGGGGTCGTACACGATGTCGACGCCCTTCTTTCCGGGCGTCAGGCTCTTGACAATTTCCGGCCACTTCTCATCCCGATAGTCTATGACATGATCTGCTCCAAAGGACTTTGCGACCTCCAGCTTTCGCTTCGTGCCCGCTGTGGCAATCACTGTGGCACCGAACGCTTTCGCGACTTGGACGGCAGCGAGACCTACACCACCGGCGGCGGCGTGCACAAGAACATAGTCGCCAGCTTTGACGCCGGCACGAACGACTAAGGCGCCGTAGCTCGTGGGAGCTGTGACAAAGAGGCCGGCTGCTTCCTGGAATGACCAGCCTTTCGGCACCGGCAATAGCGCAACCTCCTTGGCGCACACTTTGGTCGCATATGCACCTTGACTCGCGCCGAATACTCTTGAGCCGACGGGGAACTTTGGCGACTTGGAGTTGGCTGGTGTGGCAAGGACTACGCCTGCAAACTCCGCTCCTGATACCCAAGGAAACGCTAAAGTGCATTAGTTGACTGATAGGTGACATAGAGGTGCTGGTGACCAGCTCGACTTACGAGGTTGGTTCTGATATTTGCCTTGGATCTGCAGGATATCAAAGAAGTTGGTTGCTGCCGCGTGCACCTCGATCAAGTAATCATTCGGCCCCGGCTTCGGATCCGGAAGCTCGGTGACCTTTAATTCATGCGGCGCCTGCCAAAGTGTCAGTCTGCCCTGGACTCTTCGCGTGTAGGAATGGGTGCGAACCTTGACATATTCACTGAGCTGGATCCCTCTCATGGTGGGCGACCCTGGATGTATCCCTTGTAAGAATGGATTCTATATTCGAACGATGGCTTTAATTATTGAAACTGTCAGCTTTGTCGCTTGGATGTTGGAAACAGAGATACAGGAAGAGCATTCGAGTCGTTGAAGATTCGCGATAGGCGGCAAGGATTGAATGCCGAACTCGTTGAAGCTGAGATGATGTTTGTGTAAACTGCGGAGAGCCGAGGCATCAGCAATCCCCACACCCGTCTTAGCGCAACTGGAGATCCCTGCCCCAGCATCTCGATTTCTGGGGTAGTTTACTATGCACACGATGTTGAGATTCCCCGTTTTCTTTACTCGGTGTTACTCAACAGCTATATAACGTAGAATATTTGTATTTCAACCCGCATTGTGATGCTACCGGTATCTCTATATACTGTGGCTGACCCCAAACGCCTCTATACATGCTTGTTGATCGTTCTAGTGTCATGATGTCTAAAAATGCCATTATGAAGGCGCCTAGCTCCTGAATATGCGTGAGGGCTCTAGCCTCAAGGATATCGCTGTTTGTAGGCTGCGAAAAACTCGCGCTCGGTGGCTGTCAAAACATGGTTCTGGCATGCACTGCTTCGCAATACCATAATCAAGAGGCGGCTCCACAACGCTTGTTCCGGTGTGAGATTCGTCCGTCACCGTGATTCATCAGGGCGACGGGGTTGGTAGGCTGGTCAATGTCCAGAGCCTGATTTCGAATCGCTCCGAATGGCGAAGGCTCTTTCAACCGGCTTGCTCTTTCCTGCGCTTCTTCTCCTCTTTCCTCTTCCTTTTGGCTTCCTTCCTTGCACGTCGTTCCTCTTTTGTTTCAGTGGCTTTTGTTGACGAAGAGTCTTCCTTCGCAGACTCTGATGTTGCCTCGGAAGCCGTCTTGCGAGCTTGTTTCTGTGCTTTGCGCAATCGTTTTGCCTCTTTTCTGGCCCGTCGCTCCTCCTTGGTCTCTATCCTTACGGGCGCAGGTCTGTCTTCGGTTTCCGGTGTCGTATCTGTAGACTCGCTGGCCGTTGTGTTCAGAGTGAGGGTGCCCTCCAGCATGCCACCTCGAACGAACGACGCATAGAGCCCACCTGCGCCGGCGTACTTGCCGGTGCCGACCGCCATCATGTCCAGCTTGGTGTGCTTGACCGTTTGGACGACAACGCCTTTCTTCGATGTGTCGAGACCCTTGAGCTGCTCATCGAAGGCATTGAGCCACCACTGGTCGCTGGTAACATGGTTCTTGCGACCGATGCCCAGAGTGTTGTCTTTCCGTGAGACGAGGAGGGGTCTTGCAAGGCCGATCGAGTCATCGGTGTGGTGGAGGGAGTGCCCAGTGCCTCGCCATCCTTGGGACTTGAGGAGAGCGTGGGCATCCATCGTCCCGTTTGTGAGGCGCGGTTTACCTGTTCAACTATTTCGATGAAGTTCGAATTCAAAATGTCATTGTTGTGTTGCGCACTCTTTGCCGATAAGAACTTCAATCCAGCCTGGAAAATAAAATTTTGGTGGGGCTATGAAGCGCCTTCAATGATGAGTCAGCATGCAGCCAACGCCAGGACTCCTAGGGGACTAGAGCTTCAACTCACTTACACACGCTCGACACGGCACACACTGTCCTATTCTTTTGTGATTGACTCTTCATGGCTTCCTGTTGGGGCCTCCCGTCACTATGCTGTCTCATATTACCCAGAAATACATCTCAAGCCCGGGGTTCTCATACGTGGCGGAAAGTAGTGGCAGGACTGCAATGTTGCCAGCACATGCATTTCGGCTCCTCCCGTATGCTAGCAAACGCCTCGGCTGCTCATTATTCTGTGCTTGAAGCTTCCCCTCCGCTCAACCAGGTGCATCCTTACCACAAGCAACTGCCGGCTCGCATTATGAATTGAGAACAAGCAAATGCCGTCAACGGTAACTTGGGGTGGGCAGGGATCCGACTTTGTAGCTTGCGATTGATCAACCGATGGATCATCGTAGCACTGAGATCCCCTGAATGAACTAGCCGAAAAGGGACATACTTGCGAATGATATCAGTATATCATGAAGCTCAAAGTTGAGCAACAGATCATGCAAATATGTAAGGCGCGTCGGTTGGGGGCAAGTTTGTCTTTTATTAGGCCCAGCCTAGGTATCACCAAACGAAGTCAATCATCATGAAGGCATCTGGCGCGTTTGCTCTGGCATTGCTAGCCGCTAGCCTCAGCCGGGGCGAGGTCTCGCAAGGCATCTCTGACTCTCTCTACGCTCGATTCACTCAGATCGCAAGCATTTGCATGGCTACCTACGCAGGCGATCTATGTCCCAGCCCAGGGGGACTGGAGAAGGTCGCCGACATAACTAATACCACGACTGATATTCATGGCTGGATTCTTCTCGACGATTCAGCCCAGGAGATTCTAGCGGTATTTCGTGGAACTGAAAGTCTCCAGAACTATGAGACCGATACCAACTATACACTTGCACCCTTCGACACCTTACCGGAGTGCACAGGCTGTGAGGTTCATGGTGGATACTACCTAGCCTGGGTTTCTGTCGTTGACCAAGTACGGTCACTTCTCGAGCAGCAAGCCAGTGATCACCCTGAATATAGTGTTGTCATCACAGGACACAGGTTAGTGATGGGTGATACAAAATATATAGACAAGGTATTGACAGTAGGAACAGCTTAGGTGGTTCTATGGCTGCGCTTGCAGCAGCTCAATATAGCTCAATCTTTTCTAACATCACTGTATACACCCTAGGCGAGCCTCGAACCGGAAACCCAGCGTTCGCTGACTTCATTGAACGCGAATATGAGGCAACAGATCCATCTACGACGAAGTATTACCGTATCACCCATGCAGACGACGGTGTCCCGAACGAACCCCCGGAGTCGGATGGTTACGTACACCCCAATCTGGAGTATTGGAGTCAAGACCCGGTCAGCTCACAGAATACCTTCGTTTGCACAGGCCCGGGAGTTCAGTGCTGCGAGGCTCAAGGCGGGTCAGGCATCAATGGAGCACATCTTGTATATTTCGGCAAACCAGTCCTCATTGGAGGTCAATGTCTCTGAAGAATTCCTGTTTAAGTTATTTCTTGAGCTTGACGAGACTGCCAGTCACTTTGATTGTGTAGTTGAAAAAAATTCACAAAATGAGATCCGTTGCGAGACTTAAAGCATTCTAAGACGACGGAAATGCAATGTCCAAAAAAACCCCCCGAAAAAAAAAAAAAAAACACCAAGTGTCATTGACTAGGCGGGCACACTAAAAACTCCTAAAATAGATACCTTGACCTCAAACAAATACGAATCCATGCCGGACCGGGCGAGCCTCCCCAGCAATGGACTTTGAAGAGGCTAGGTTTGACACAACGCCTGCAATCTGTTTCTGCCATTCCAATAGTCCTCCTGACTGGTAGTAAATATAAGCTCTCGAAAGGAGTGCTAAGCAGAGGAGCAGCCACACCAAACAAAACATAACACGGGGCAGTCGTCGAGGCTTCTGAAGCTTTCTGGTCCTAATGTGCGTGAATAGAGTCGGATAATTGTCATCATCGTCTTCTCGTCCGCTGTAGTAGACAACTTGACTCTTGATAATGGTGCTGATCATCTCTCCTTTGCGGGCGAAACCACTCACTGTATCAATAGGAGTGAATCGCTTGATATTCGGCCACAGAACGATTTGAACCATTCCTACACGTAAAGGAAGTGGGTGGGTCGTCTCGGGCTTCCCTCTCCTCCCTGCTTCTGCTGCGAAATCTTGCTGTTCGTAATCATCGTAGGTGGTTCCAGCTTTCTGAGAAGCCATGTATATCTCGTCGCGGACGTGCTCTTGATCCAAGTTCCATACCTCTCCCGGGCGAGGAAATTCAATATTGAAAACAGATGATGAACGTCTCATCATGTTAGACAAGAAGGCTGCCTCAGCCACGATGTTGTGGATTTCTTGATGGAAATCCTGCAAGTCTGGCCTGGCCTTGTCGTTGGCATTTAAGCCGCGTAGAGTAATCAACGGCAGTAGAAGAGCAGTAGTTTGAACTGCAAGCTGATCCACGGCCGGCCAAAATCCGGCTGGCTGAAAATCTGGCCCCTCCAAGCATGCCTTGACAGCTTCGGCTCTCATAGCTGTCCGTCGATAACCTAGAAGGCATTAGTATACATTATTGGACCAAGATATATCAACCTCACCGTCAAAATTGATTGTTGCAACATCTTGTGACTTCAGCATCTGCCTCTGCTCTTCATTGGCACCGAAGAGTAACTGGGAGAAGACGTGTGTATCGAGAACCATTGCAATGATACCAGTAACCAAGTACGTCCTCTCGGCGGAACCTCTCAACAGGGCATCCCTTCCTCCCCTGAGAGGATCGCCTCTCGACACTTGTGCGGCATAAAGCACGAAATCATCGGAGAAGTCCTCGAGCCAGGGGTTGGTCGTCCAGTCTCCGGGGACATGGTCCGCGTTATCACAGACCCTTTTAGAAAAGCTATGGGCTCTCAAGAATAGGCTTAACGTAACAAGCTCATACCATTCATCGTCGAGTTCTGTGTCCGGCTCGATGGATTGAAAGCTAAGCCGATCTGGGCGGAATTCACCAAGCTCCAGAAGACTCTGGTGTGGACGTTTTGATTTTCTTGAGCCTTGATGGTCCGTTACTTCGCCTACGACCTCTGCGCGGATTTCAGGCTTCTTAGACGGTTGTCTCTGGAGCATACCAGTCCCATATGCCTTGAAAGGTAATGGGAGGAACTCCGGTTCCTTTTCTGCAAGGTCCGGTCGAAGCTCTAAGGAGCGCATCCAGATGAGCTCTCTGTCGGGGACGACTTCTGAAAAGGCATCACTGGAGTCTTGTCGAGTGTTCTTCTCTGATGGCTGTACCTGTGATTCGTTGTTAGATCCGTTACTAACCACAGCTCGACGATGTACAGCCATTCTGAAAGAAATTCTTATTCTTGATGAGATATGCACTACGTGGGCCTAAAATTCTCTCCGGGAGAGCTGTGGTACAATTTTGTGCCATTAATATCTTCATGGTTTTATGTTCATAGACATATTTATAACATGAATCGTTCTCCCTGACGTGTTATAGGTGTTTCTTTATCTGTGAACCTGAGCCGTTAATAGGAGTAGCTACTGATTGGCCAGGGTTTTATGAAAGAGAAAGAGAAACTTTAATGTTCACCGTTTGCAGTGGCAATACCCTCGGGTTGTTTGTGATGAGACAAAGGAGGGCTCCCGTTTTCCGGATGGAGATATGCTGACAACACACCGGTACAAAGAGCTAGCTACCTATCATCGCAAGGACCTAGCTGATAAAACAGCCGTTACCTTTCAAAATTTAACAAATGGGTCCAGTCGCAGCGAGCAAAGCACATATGACAAACCAACATTTGCAGTAGAATCTCTAATTAAGTACACCACGCCTTCTATTGTCTCCCCATGCCCATAATTATTGAATGTACACCACATCTACTTCTCATCACGAAGCTAAGAAGATTTCCCATATTCTTATCTCTGATTTGAAACGGGAGACTATTACGGGGCTTATAACATTTGCGTCAGCATTCCAGCACATAAAACGCTCCAGCTACAGAACATCAAGATGACCCCTACTCGCTCCTAAATGATATCAAACCCAGGTTTTCCTGCTATATGCTGATTCTATTAGACACATGCCACTCGCCTGTTGAGTGATATCTATCTGGTTTTGTCTGCTGATTTAAATAATTCAGCATAGCGTGCTTTGACATAAATTCTCGCATTATTAACATAATATCTGCGTAGTCCCGTCGGGAATATTTCGCATCGATATCTTGCAAATGCTTCGACATTGGCTCCAATCTCTAAGAGCTGTTCCACCAATATCTGATTCCCATGACTTGCAGCATGCACGAGCGATTTTGTCGCGAATTTGTCATCCTTAGCGAGACAAGACTTGACGTAGTGTAGTAAGTGTTGAACAACTGCTATGTGCTCGCTAGAAGCAGCTTTTGATAGAAATTCGGCAAGCTCGTCGTCGTTCCCTGCGTCCAAGATGACCTCCTTCGATAACAGAAATGCAAATACTTCCACATTGCCTCCCCGTAATGCTTGATACATGATGTATTTGCCGTGCTTTTCAAGAACGCCAGCTTCAGCACTGTTGATCAACAGCTTCATGATGGCCTCTGTCCCGGTCCACGCGGCGTACAGAAGGGGACTCTGACCCTTGGCATCCTCACTGTTCATATTTGCGCCTGAATCGAGCAACATCTCGACGGCCCTCAAGCCCTGACCTCCGGAAGCCAAGACAGAGGAACCCCGTTCCGCAGCCCATGACAATGGTGTCCGACCAGCGTGGTCTCTTGAGTCTATGATGGCCTTGTGCTCGACCAAGAGTTTCACAACACTAGCATTACCATGCTCGGCAGCCCGAGACAAAGGTGTCCGGCCAGCGTGGTCCTTGGAATTGATGTCCGCATTGTGCTTGATCAATGTTTTCGCAGCAACAAAAACACCATGTTCTGCAACCAATGATAACAGTGTTCGGCCGATGTGATCCTTCTCATCGACGCTAGCTCCGTGTTCCAGCAACATTGCCATTATCGAATAGTGTCCATTTTGAAGAGCACAAAATAATGGTGACCTCCCATCTGGCCCATGACCGTTAGGATTAGTCTCTTTGAGAAAGTTGCGAACAACGACATCGTCTCCGTTCATGGCAGCATGCGATAAACCATTTATCGGATTCAAAACATCCTCTTCACTTTCTTCATCTTCATTTGTAGCTAGGAATTCAACGATAGAAGTATGTCCGTTAGCCTTGGCCCACATCACGGGACTCTGACCGTACACATCCAGGATGTAAATGTCTGCACCGTGTTGAAGAAGTTGTTGAACAATCTCCTCGTGGCCGTTTTCTGCAGCCATCGAAATTGCTGTCCGGCCTTTGATGTTTTTGCTGTTAATTCCCATGCCAATTTTTGTCTCTTCGTCAGATCCTGACCACTGGTCAACACATGTGAGTAGCAGTGTAACCGATTCTTTGTGGCCATTTGCTGCGGCTAGCATCAAGGGTGTTAGCCCACAGAAGTCTTTGCGTGGCATTTCCGACTGCAAAAGAACTTTGATTGCTTCGGATAAACCGAAGTAAGCCGCAAGATGTAGTCTGATCGCGCTGCTTGATTTCATCCTATAGAGTAAGGTTTCCACGCGATAGGATTCGCCATCTCCTTGGAATATTCCATAACCACTCGTTCTGCGGATCCAATGAGGCTCAGCGGCTGCTAGTGCCTGATATGATGCTCCGACAAGTCTCCTATTTCCCAAAAAAAGCAGAGTTTCCTGCAATAACTCATTCGCATCTGAGGCGTGGTAGCCCCAATTACGGGCAGCATAGTCATATAATGGATTTGACCGTAGCCGTAGAGACAAGGTTTCAGGAGCGAAATCACCGATGCGGAATGGCTTGAAGGACAGATAGGTCAGACAAGTTTGGGCGAGATGTCGATGTGCTTGAGAAAGCCATTTCCCCCGTGTTCGCTCTAGATATTGTTGCGTGGTGTAGTGGATCAATCGGATGACATTGGTCTCATCGTCGACGATAACTAAACCAGCACAAACCGAAAGCAAATCTTCAACGAGGGACAGGTTTTCTGGATCAAAGTCAGACCCGCCCACTTCTACGCCGATCGCATGTTGGAGCTCCAGTGTGGTTAGTTCTCTCTTCGCACACGTTATCCATGATAATACTCGTGTTGCAACAAGCGCTTCGTCCGCAAGTTGGCCATTAATTCTTTGCATTGCTTCTGTGTACACTTGATGGTATGCGTTAGAGCCAGTCTTCAGGCCTGCTAAGGCAATGTTGATCGCCTTCGGTGACATCTTTCCTTTGAGGGAATCGAAGTGGAGTTTGGCGAGAAGAAACCTTTAATAGAGTCAGTCCGTGCATCAGACAACACAGGGGTAAAACTCATACATCCCACCAACGGCTGCAACAATTCTGCAGATAATATCCTCCTGTAATCGAGGATTATGTTTGACGAACTTCGGCATCGAATACATTTGGGCGCTCAGGTACTGTCGTAAGTCGTCGTCAGTAGCGCGTATCTCAAGAAATATACTGTCCTGAAATCGGTCCTTGATGTTGGGAATAAAGCGGGATGTCACTAGAAGATTTAATCGCGCTGTCGTCTGCAATGTCAGTAGATCAGATATGAACCGGTCTCTGCAACCATTGGACATAGCAGATTCATCAAGCGCATCTATCACTATGAATATTCGTGGGAAAGTTGCAACAACGGACATCAGGACGTCTAGAATATCGTGAATCTGTGGGCGTGTTCGCCGGGGCTTATGGCGAGTGTAGAGTTCCTGAACACATCCTGGAAGGATATCTACACTTTCCGCAAGCTGTCTCAGCAGACTGGCCAGTAAGTGCTCCACTCTCTGCTCGTCTTGCCGGCGGAAGTTACAATAGATATATGCGATTCCAACCCCAGTGTGAAAGAGCTCCGTTGTTAGCTGATCAACTATAATTGATGCAAGCATCGTCTTGCCAGCTCCTGGATCGCCTTGGCAAAATAGGGTGGAGCCTTGGGTAACACGCCATGCTCGATATTCTGGGGAATCGAGGAGCCATTGACCGGTTCCTGCCTGTCTGTGGTTGATGAAGCCATTCTGCTGAGGTGCATAGTTGTCCGGCGTGAGCCAGTCAAGGATATTCTGTCGCTCCCGGTCGACGTCAAAGGCTTTGATCTCTTTGGTTGCCGCCATAATTGTCTGTCCCCATGATTCATGGTCTATTCTGGCTCTCTTGATTTCTCTGCATGTTTCTTCTTCGATCTCATGCATATTTCTCAAGGTCTTGCCAAGCGTTTCGTTGTACTCTCGCTGGTCTTCAGCTAGATTGCGAAGGTAGCGTTCTACTCCAAGAAGAATAGTCCTAACAATGTCAATCATCGTATATGCCTGGAACGGACACGGGAACTGACTGCTGGTCACTATTTAGTGCTAACATGAAGAGCTCTTTACCCTCTTCAAGTGTTCTGAGTGACCTCTTCAACCTGCGATCCAGTTTCGGACTGACCAAGTACTTGCCCATAAAGCCTCTGTTGTTCATGAAGTCCTGCACGACTTCCATAGCGACTTTGCATCGCTCGCAGACAGGACTAAGGTACTCTAAGCTTCGCAGGCGTGCTGCATCCTCTTCAAAAATCTCTATGTGCGTTTCAAACGTCTTGATCGATCCATTGAATGAAGATAAAGTCGATGTCACCTCAAGTAGATCCGCGGAGCTGAACTCAGACGACCCAACCCATCGTTTAGAGAGCTTCAGGCATGAGGCAGTCACCTGTATGACAGCGATAAGGCTGGCAGCAATGCTGAGCCCATCCATGTCGGCTGGCTGCGAGGAGTTCAAGAACGCCTGACATATAAAAATGGGTTCACGTCCGTGAAGTCAAGGTCAATTAGATTGCTCACGGGACTCGACTTGATAGTCATGGAATCATGATCTCTGCATCAAAGTAGAAAGGAAAGGACCAAAGCCTCACTTCAGGAAAAAAGGAGCGTGAAATTGCGGTTTGTTCAAGGGGGCATCTATGGATGGCCCACGCCACCCTCCAGAACGTCTGCATCTGGGACATAACCAATCACAACGTTAGAAATGCAGGCGCAGTGCCTGCATAGGTGATCCAAGGAACTCATTGCGCGTCTCAAAGTTTCTGTTTCTACTAGAAGGCTATAACTAAAAGCAGTAATCCCTGGTTGAGAAGTTCATTTTTTTCTTACTGAGATACCATTAGTTATCCTGAGGACAAATATAAGTGGTCGCTGAGAGTGTTAAGAAAAGCCTGATTACAGTGCTTTTTCCACATTGAGGATCAACTTGATGCCTTGGGAATGAGGTGTCGATACCGCCGTTGGGCACGGACCCTGGCTGGAGGCGGCGCAGGGACCGGGGCGTCTTGAATTTTGAAGCGGCACCAGTTGGCGCTGGCTCCATTTGCGACCGACAAGATTGTGATTTCCTTCCGCAAAAAACCATCATCCCCGTACCGACTTCGACTTGTGCCTGGTGCAAAGTCATACAGCGTGTCCCTCCCACTTCTCTTGGGACGATTTTCCTCGAGTACCGCCTTGTGCGCCTATTTGAGAAGCAGCAACCTCATCGTCGCAGCTTCCCCTAATCCGCCCGCCCGTGCGCAATTCCATCGCAACTTCCTGTTGACGATCCTTTTTCCACGAGAGCCTTTCCCGAGATCGAATCTCGTTGTGTGTCCCAAAACATCTTTAGCTACGCCAGAACAGCTCGGCTATCTTCTACCTCGCTTCTCCTTCAAACCCATCAACCAACCGCTACAATGTCGGAGCAGGTTGACCTCACCACCATCCCCATCTCTCCAGATGGTGAGAGTGCTCCCAAGACCACCACCGAGCCCAAGGAAGGCGAGATAACTACCGTCTTTCACGACAAGGACAACTTCAACGTGAAGCACCCGCTGGCGCACGACTGGACTCTTTGGTTCACCAAGCCTGCCACTGGCAAGGTGAGCAATGGCCCTCTTTAAGATGCCCCTCCCCCGCTGACTGGCTTTGTTACAGGGTGATTCTTGGAACGATCTGCTCAAGGAGGTTATCACATTCAACTCGGTCGAGGAGTTCTGGGGCGTATACGTATGAGTCTATCTCTCGATCAATCCCATTTGTTTGCCTAACACAGGTTTTAGAACAACATTGCTCCCGTCTCCGAGCTCGCCCTCAAGTCCGACTACCACCTGTTCAAGGCTGGCGTAAGACCTGAGTGGGAGGATCCTCAGAACAAGCACGGCGGGAAGTGGTCCTACAGCTTCAAGGACAAGCGTGGGGTCAACATCGACGAGTTGTGGCTTCATACGATGCTGGCCGCGATCGGTGAGACGCTCGAGGAGGAGGACGACGGCGAGATCATGGGCGTTGTTGTCAATGTGCGCAAGGCCTTCTACCGTATCGGCGTGTGGACCCGCACCGTTGGTAAGAGCATCCCAGGCCGCGGCGATGGCGACGTCGCTGGTGGCAAGGGCCGCTCTCCGGAGAAGGGCCGCGAAATTCTGCTATCCATCGGCAAGCGCACCAAGGAGGTGCTCAAGCTGCCGGCCAACGAACTGCTTGAGTTCAGCGGCCACACCGACGCCGCTCACAGTGGAAGCACGCGTGCCAAGGCGAAGTTTACTGTCTAAATATGACTTGTATTCTCTACTTCTACACATCCCATACCCAAACACACCACCTCATCACAAAGTAGACTTATTTTGGGCTCGCTCTTTCATCCGCTAGGAATTTGGAAGGCTGAATTAGGGTTGATATTAGCACGACGTGGGGTACAAAATTGCCGACGGAAATATGCATACGGTCTCGAGGTCTGGAATTCAAGGGCTAGTGAAGGCTTTCCAACAATGATTGCTCAGTTTTACCTTGTTATGGCTGCGGGCGTTTGCTGTGGTCGGGTATACCTAGCTTAGAAGATGCCGAATGGAACATCTCAAGAAACCCATGGTTTCGTCTCCTGTTGAAGAGTGCACCGTGGAGTAGAAGTTGACTTTTGATTGCTCTATATGCTGATGTCTATATGGACAGAATAGTACACTCTATATAACATGGGTATGTTTGGCATCCGCTGGGCATCATCTTACATCTCGTCGCCGCTGAAGTCGTCTTGGAAAACAGCTTTGACTAGCATCTTCTTGTTGATCTTACCCATCGCATTCCGGGGTATGTGGTCCACCACTCTCAATACCTGCGGAATCTTGTAGTTGACAAGCCTATTTTTCAGCGCTCGCCGCATGTCCATCGGCGTCCACCTGCCGTCCGGAACATGCTCCTTGTTCAATATGACCACGGCGCCGACCTTCTGCCCCCACTTGCCCGACGGCACAGCCATGACTGCCGCCTCCGACACCTCCGGCAGGCTAAGCAGCTCGCGCTCGACCTCTAGCGCCGAGACCTTCTCACCGCCGGACTTGATGATGTCTGCGCTCTTGCGCCCCAAGATGAAGTACAAGTCGCCCTTGCCAGTCCAGTCCTGCGACGGCCGCGTGCTTTTGCCCGCAGCGTCCACCTTTCTGCGGACCGCCACGTCGCCCGTCTTGAACCACTTGCCGCCGTCCTTGTCCGCGACGAACTCGGCGCTCGTCGCCGCCGGGTTCCGCCAGTACTCCCTGAAGATGGTCGGTCCGCGCAGCTGGATCTCGCCCGAGCGCTCGCGGCCGGTCTGCGGCTCCACCTCCTCGCCCGGCTGGATGACGGCGCCGGTGTCGGAGTCGACCAGCCGCGCCTCGACGGAGGGCAGCGGCCAGCCGACGCTGCCGTCGACGCGGTCTGCATTCTCGAGGCCGCAGCTGAGCGCCATGCCGACCTCTGTCATGCCGTAGCGCTCTAGCAGGACATTGCCGCCGCTGAGATCGGACCACGCCTTCTTGACGGGGGTCGGTAGCGCGGCGGACCCGGAGATGCACAGGCGCAGATACTCTGGGGAGATGACCTTGCGCGTGGCGGCCTGCAGGTCGGGAGGGAGCAGCTTGTGCGTGGCGAGCAGGCGGCTGTACACGGTCGGCACCACCGTGAAGAAGGTGACGGGCTCCGGCTTGGCGTGGCCGTTGGGGAGGAAAGGGGATGCGAAGCGCTTCCACACGGCGTCCGGGTTGAAGGGGAAGAGAAACTCGATCGAAGAACCGGCGAAGAGTGGTGTCAGAATTGCGTTAATCGTGCCGTGGATGTGATGCAGCGGGAGCACGTGCAACAGGTGATCGGAGGC